AATTGTTTTAAAACTGGTATGAATTAACCTTAATTTTAATATCAAATGGTACCATCTGGTGTTGAATTAAATGCAAAGTGTTGTCTGTTTTTACACAGATGAAAGGCCTAACGCTTAGCAATTCAGATGTAATCAAAGAGGTACACAACAGTTTTTCAAGGTAACTATCAGAGTACATTGTTTTCCCTGTAAATGTTTGATCTCTTCATAGTATGGTTGTGCATGGAGTATTTCATAAAAAATAAATTACATGTATGTGTGTGTGTGGTTTTCTGAACTAAAAAATGTGTATTATTATTATTTTTAGTGAAGTTTTGACTTCCAGTATAAGAATAACAAAAAGTCTGGTTTCTCGTTGCATGTGTATGTGTGAATAATCCTGAAGTCGTAACTTAAAATAATGTTTGTTTTTTTTCAGTTTTAATTAATCTTGTGATCACTTGCTAGATGACTGCTGTGGTTTAACTACTTGGTAAAAGTAAGATGTTAATTAAACATGATAACTATTGATATTGTATTATTGTGAATGTACACTTTTTTATCAGGAATGTGATACATCTGCTCCTTATTTCAGACAACAGATGTTTGAATTTGATTCAAAGCATGCCAACAAAGATGATGATGTGTTTCACTTCATTGGTTACGTACCCATTGATGGAAGGCTATATGAACTTGATGGGTTAAAAGATGGTCCCATTGATTTAGGTATGGTTTAATTGTTTATGAATATTTTAATGTAGCAGCCAAATGTTCTGAACTAAGCTGTATAAACTTTTAATAAACAGTGTTTTAAACACTCTGTGCTGTTACCTTAGTACCTCAAACACTTTGTGTTACCATAGTGCCTCAAACACTTTGTGCTGTTACCATAGTGCCTCAAACACTTTGTGCTGTTACCATAGTGCCTCAAACACTTTGTGCTGTTACCTTAGTACCTCAAACAGTTTGTGCTGTTAATCAACTGATACTGATGTAACAATATTACAAGAATCAACAGAGACTGATGTAACAATATTACAAGAATTAACAGTTACTGATATAATAATATTACAAGAATCAACAGATACTGATGTAACAATATTACAAGAATCAACAGACACTGATGTAACAATATTACAAGAATCAACAGACACTGATGTAACGATATGTTTGAGGTACTAAGGTAACAGCACAAAGTATTTCAAGCACTAGGTTAACAGCACAAAGTGTTTGAGGTACTAAAGTAACAGAACAAAGTGTTTGAGGTACTAAGGTAACAGAACAAAGTGTTTGAGGTACTAAGGTAACAGCACAAAGTGTTTGAGGTACTAAGGTGTAGGACTGGTGTTAGTAAGGTTACAGTGTAGCTTGGTTATGTAGGACTGGTGTTAGTAAGGTTACAGTGTAGTTTGGTTATGTAGGACTGGTGCTAGTAAAGTTACAGTATAGCTTGGTTATGTAGGACTGGTGTTAGTAAATTTAGACACAAGGTACAAATCAGAAGTACATGTGTAGAAACACACAGATATAACAAACACATTTTTTTTCAAGTTGAATAACTATCCACACTATTCCCACACTGTCCAGAAACAATTTTCCAAACACTTACTTCTAGTTGACTAGTTAGATCTTCTAGTTTTCTTTGATAGATCATTTTTCTGTCTGAGATAATAGCCATAAGGTTGAAATGGATCTCTCCCTCATTATATCTAAAGTAAAACAAGGTTCTATGTGTTAGAAAAGTTATGAAGATATACCATTCTGTTTTTATAAAAGATTGTAAACTAAAAACAACCAGTAAAGAAATTACATTTTCACTTACTTTTGAATTCGTTTCTCAATAACTGGACGAACTACATCCAACCAGTCAGTTGAACTTGGAATTGGACCTGAATAATATAACCAAAGTTTACTTTAAGTGAAAATCACAACATAGTGTGTGATGTAACAATATTACAATACAGTGTAGCTTGGTTATGTAGGACTGGTGTTAGTAAAGTTACAGTGTAGCTTGGTTATGTAGGACTGGTGTTAGTAAAGTTATAGCCAAGCTACACTGTAACTTTACTAACACCAGTCCTACATAGCCAAGCTACACTGTAACTTTACTAACACCAGTCCTACATAACCATGCTACACTGTAACCTTACTAACACCAGTCCTACATAACCAAGCTACACTGTAACTTTACTAACACCAGTTTTGTATAACAAAGTATATATATTAAGTATCCTGATTGACACTGTGTATGTGGAATCACTTATTGTTGTATTTTCTAATTGTCACCAGCACGTTTCTTGTATCCATCTAAATCTAGCCTAACACATTATTCTCTGTTAGATATTCACTGTTCCGATACCTTGTGACACTCTTGTCTGATGCTTTAATATTCCATTTATAATTTGCCAGAATAATATATAGAATGTTGTAAAATTATTGTTAGTGTGAGATTTTTTTTCTTTCCAAACAATAGTCTGGTGGAATGGAAACAGATGAACTGCAGCAGGAAATTGGTAAAATACATGACTTGATAGCTGAAGAAGAATCTAAAATGAAGAAATACAAGGTGAAAACGATTTGTTCAGTTCTTGTTGATATACACCACTATTATCAGGCTTTTCTCTAGCCCTGCTATGTGTTCTTTCTTTTTTTTATTATGTTCTTTAAGTTTTAAGAAAGTTTGATTTATTGACTGTTCTTTCTTTGACATATAAGAATTTTAGTTGTAATGTTAATTTTTATTATGACGTGTTCAGATGTTTGTATTAAGTCATTCTGTAGCTGTGATGTAAATGTTACCACAAAGTGTTCAGATGTTTATATTAAGTCATTCTGTAGGTGTGAT